TGGGCACACCATTACAACTCACTGTGTATCACTGGTGCTCACAAGACTTGCTGAGGGAAGGTGCAATCCCCACATATATCCTGGCTTTCCTTCATATATAATGTTCTCATCAAAAGAAAGAAGATTTTTGCACAGTACTTACTTCAGTAACTTGGGCTGGAGCAGGCGCTGCAAGCGGTCACTGACTACTGATTTCTGCAGTAATGTCTTCTCCCTGCTCTTCCCTAAACCAGAGAACATGATTGAGCATTCAAACACCAGAGCAAAGCCACTACTAAGAAAAAGAGAGATGCACTGCTTTCAATACCCCAGCTAAAGCATCCCCCAGGTCTCCAGTAAGAGCTCCCTACCTAAATCACTAATATCATGCCTGAAACAGGCAAGGCACAGCCTCTGGCTCAGTTTCAGTTCCACAGAGTTCAATAAAAATCAGCACCAAAGTGTTTGGAACCATTTAAGGCTGCAAGTGTCCCTGGAACTGCTCTAATCTGAGCAGTGCCCTTGCATGATCTCATCTGGCTTTGGAGAGCTCACGGGGTTATTGCATCAGAACAAATGCAAATGAACGAAGGGAGTTGTTAATCGTTCCCTGGAACAATTTCTGGAACATCCCATTTGCTTTTAACTGCCTTTTTTGTGAGTCAAGTATGAAACATCAGAACGTTTAACTGCAAATGTGGGGGACTAACAATATGAATATATACATTTGTTATAGCTCTTATGGAACATTGAACAGCACATGGAGTTACTTACATTTTGCTGAAATCAGTTGTTCAAAGGATTTTATGCCCTGAGCTGCCTTTTCCTTGGCATCTTCATTGGCAGGAGGGCCCTAATGAAGATTACAAGGGTTATATATACTAGAAGAGTCAGATACACATTAAAATTACCCTTCCTTCTTAGAACTTAGCATGAATTGTTACAAAAGAGACTGGTAAGAAACTCAAACCTGTGCAAACTGTCACATTCAAACTGCAAAGTTACCTTTACTGACACTAGCTCAGATACACTAGAAGACCTAAGAAACCAAATAGCTACAGGAAAGAAATAAATTTGTCTGTGCTTACACAGCACACTCACAGCTCAGAGCCAGGCCTGCTTGTGTTAGTTGACCATTGAAGAAGCATTTTGAATACGTATTACACATTTGTACCTACTTCAGATGTGCTACCAACCTGGGTAGGATTTAACAGACAAAATTACCAGGCAATGCTTGACTGTTGGTTTAACAGAAGACCAGTGACAGCTGACATCTCAGCTACAACTAAAAGTCAAGATTTCCTTTTGCTAACAACACTTTAAAAACACATGGAAAAAAAGTAGTGACATTTGCCACAGAAAACTCAGTTTGAAAGACAGTGAGATTTCAACAGTACTTTAAGCAGCAGCATGGAATTGGACTGTGGAGATGAAGCCAATCAATCACAGTTAAGTTGAAAACAAGAATGGTCAAGTGCCCATGGCTGGAACGTCTCTTCTCAGAACCTGCTTTCAGACATCACAGACGTGGGCTGAACAAGTATTTCCAATAGAGAGTAAAGGACAAATGAGACAAAACCAACGTTTCAAAGCCAGGAGTGACATTCAGTTTACACAACTAAAAGGTAACACAGTTTTAACAGTCACAATTTATATCTACCATTGAAAGTCATATCAGTATGTAATTTAGCGATGTTTACTTACAATTCCTGTTGTTTTATCCTTAAAGTATGGCTTCATAAAATGACCCAAAAATATATTTGCTGGTAGATTTCTGCCATCTCCTGCCTTTGCTATTTTTGGACCTCCAAGCTCACACATGATCTCCTTCTGCAATACAAGAATTAAACAGTATCAGTGTCTCCTTCAAATTCCTATTTCAGAGAGCAGTGGCTGAGTCACCACAAACATCCCAGGCAGGGTCCGAACTCAACTTACACCAGACTGTAAATCACTGTATGTGTTAAATATGGGATTTGGAGCTTCCTCAGTCTGTATAGTGCACTGCAGCTGATTAAGAAAAACACTAACGTGCTACAAGATACTAAAACATAAAATACCCAAGTGATGCATTTCTGGTGATAAGAGAGCACAGAAACATCAGTCAGAGAAGCGACACCGGTTTGAAGTGCCACGAAGAACAAGAACCTGGTTCTTGGCCAAGCCACTTGAGCACAAGAGACTGCAACTGCTGCAGTCAATTCCACTGGTACATGTGGTGGTCTAGGAATGCCCTGGAAAGTTTTACTGGGCTTGATGTCAAGGCAAGATGGCAAATGGCAGCCTGAAACAGCACAGGAATGAACATTTTACTCCTGTTCCACTCACCTGCTGCTCTTTGTTTTGTGCAAGGAGAAGCTCAACTTCCTCAATCTTTTCCTGGATGACTTCCTGGTATACATGGTTCATCTGCAGACAAGTTTCTGGATCCTGTGGCAAACTGCTTTCCATATCATCATTATCATCATCATCATCACTACTGTCATCTTCTCTTTCCATTTCCTTGGAGCAATTGAGGCATTTAAGGGAGGGAAAGGGAGAAAAATGCTTGCTTGAAAAGCAAGTATGCAACATAATTATTTTTGTAACTCAAGAAATAAGAACAATCCTTTGTAAATAATTAAATTCAGTTGAGTTTTGCACATAGAATTAAAGGTCACAGGTCTGTAGTAACAAATAGCAATGAGAACGTATCTTGGGCATTGGGTTTCATAATAACAAGCCACCAGATGAGTGGCTGCTGACAGGACAATGGGACCTTCCAAACCTAAAGTTCAGCCGGAGGATGAAGTGATGAAGGCCAAGATGATGATGAAGAAAGGACCACCAGGGGTCCCAAAGACCACTGCCACGTTATTGTGCGCATGCAGAAATGGCCACGGATCTATGTAAAGCAATTCTCAGAAACCTAATGAATACGTATGACATTTACTGGAAATGTAATGAATACATATGCTAAGCAACAATATAACCACAGTCTGTTTGATGCTTGAATGAGACACATTAGGAGGAGAGATCCCCTGTGTCTCCCAGTGCTGTAATAAAAAATACCCCCTTGTCAACTTCAGCTTTGTTGGCGCGTTCTTTGAATCACTCAATGCTTCTATTACCTTACAAAACTGACTTAAAAAGAACTGGAGGCATATAACTGCTTGTCTCTCCCTGGCAGTTTGAACTGAACTCTCCCAGGAGCGGGGTTCCAGGCCAGCCCAGTGCCCCTTCACCCTGTCCATTAGTTCAGCTGCTACCTGAACCAGTCTGACTCAGATATCCTGCAAACCAGCAGTACTTTACACTGGAGCTCTCCCAGCTGCTAGATCTGCTAAACCCTTCACATTCCCACTTCATTTATGCTTCTACTGAAGCAATTCATCCTTTGCTTGGTTTATTGTACAAGCCCAGCATGCCTCAGGTACAAAGCAGTACAAGACTGCTTGACCACAAACTGATGATTTCTTTCTGTGACCTCCCCAGAAGCCAGTTGTGTTTCCAGTGACAGAGATCAGCAAGAACTAGAGCAGTGAGGCCCCTGATCCCCTCATTTCTTTACATATGAACAAATCTCTTACATGTGAATTACAAAGTCCTGGGCGGGAATAACTAAATCTCCATGTCTATTATTAATCCTTCCTGAGCTCCAGTCAAGCCAGCTGCCTGGATTTCCCCAGCACAGAGCTCCCCTCAGTAGACAGATGGAGAGATACGTGTAAAGAGAAAGCAGTTACCATTTCAGGATGAGAGCCTGAGTCATCATCTTCATCATCATCTGTTAGACAACAAAAATACAGAAATACTGACTGCAGTGGGAGTACAAGAGGAAAGCTTCAAACCCAAACCTTTTCAATCAAAGCACATACAATCACACATTGTATCTCAGCCAAGACCACTGGATTCCCTGGCTACTGACAATATTGTTAATATATAACCAAAAATATAGAACTACTTTTTTTTTTTTTCTAAAGTAGGAAAAAAAGCAACTCCTGATTGCTATAATCAAGTTACATTTCGGTGCTACACATCATGGCACATTAAGGCTCTAGAGTATGCAGTCAAGTGAACATTCCAATCCAACAGAACCCATAAAACACCTGACAGCCCTTCCACCCTCTTCAGGAATATCTGAGTTAGCATTCAGTATGGCTACAGGCTTCTGACATACAGTATTCAGCCTTGCATGATGGGGTCAATTCAAACACGGGTGGATGAAGTGACTGTGACAACCAGAGGTACCAAACCCCCAACTCTATCACCACCTCCTCCTTGCTTTGAAAAATTAACTCGGGAAGGCACAGGCAGGCTGTGAAACGGAGCTGCTCACACAGCAGCGCCTGCGCTGCCACCCTGACAGCATAGGAACAGCTGCGGTTTAACTACGGCCAGTATTTGGTGGGCTGCGTTTCATGAGTCAGCTCCTTACCACCCGCCCTGACAGGAAACCCGCACCAGCGGCTGGACGGGTCCTTAGCGCTCCCCGCTAGCCTGATCGGGGCTGTGCCGGTGCAAGAGGCTCCTCCTGCTAAGGGCAGCACTGAGGAGATGCCTCGAGTCCGTCCACACCCGGCAGGAACGGCGCGGTCACCGGACAGCACCGCACCTCAGGAGCCGGAGCACCGGGGGAGGCAGGAGAGGGCCGTACCCGTGCCGGAGCTGCAGTCGGACACGTCCGCGCCGCTGGCAGCCCCGCCGGGCTCCAGGCTCCGCTCCAGCTGCTCGATCTCCCGCCGGATCTTCTCCCGCTCCGCGTTCAGGTCCAGCGCCCCGGCCGCGGGGCTGCTGCGGGGCCCGGCCGCGCCCGGCCCCCGGGACATGGCGGCTCCGCGGCCTCGGGCCTGGCCCGCACGCAATCACCGCCTCCCACCGCGGTCAGCTGAGAACGCCGGCACGTGACACCGCGCAGCCAATGGGGCGCGCCGCCGATGCCGCGGAGGGGTGGGGCTGGTGGCACGTGGACGGTGGAAGGGCACCCCCGGGTCCCTGCTCCCTGCCACAGGCCCGCAGTGACCGGACACCGGCTGCGCCGCCGCCGCCGCCTTTAATAGCTCCGCAACACCCGTCACACAGCGGCCGGGACGAGCGCCACAGCCCGCACCCGGAGCCCGAGCCCTCCCCGCGCTGCACGAACCCCTCCCGACTCCTGCTCCCTCCGTGGCAATGGAACAGTCCGGATGGGGACAGAACGCAAGCGGCAGTTCCAGCCAAACCCGAGTGCTCTGTGGGGTCCCAGCGGGATGTCGGGGTGCAGGGGAAGCAGGACCCGCAGCCCCAGCCCAGAGGCACATACTCTTGTCCATTCGGGCTTCAGGACTCCAGCGGCAGCAGCACCAACATCTTTGTGTATCACAATGAGGCCAAGTATCAAAACCAGAGTTTTTGGGAATGGTTTCCATCCTGTTCCAGTCACTGTCCATCTTGGGACACTTCTGAAATCCTGTCTATGGATGTGAGGAGATCGGCGACAAGCTGCAGTGACTCTGCTCCAGAGACCAGCTGCCTGTAAGGAGGGGGGACACAGCGTTAAGAGGGAGAGGGTGAAGCAGGCACCAGGTCAGTTGTTTTTACTTGGGTACTGTGATTTTTCCAGAAGCAGTTTATTTGGACTGAAGACTGTGGTTCTTGAGGTAGAGGAGCCTTGGAGGAGTGTAGGAGACCTACAGAGCCTCTATAATGGTTCCACATTATGTAAAAAAAAAAAACAAGACTTGCATGTTCCAGTCATTTTTATTACCTAAACCTGGAGGAAAAGGCTTTGTGGGTAAGAACATGGAGCAGCTGATAACATACAAGCTGTAAGAACCCAAGTTGCAATCCAGAAAGGAAAGCCCCTGGGAACATTTAGCTGTGACCTCTGGATGGTGTTAGGAAGTCATCATAAAACAACTCACCTGATGGAAGCCTGAGAGTTGGTTATGACAGTGAGAAGGTTCTGTAGGGCAGCATCCGCGTTCTGCCTCACCGTGGCCAGACTTGCTGCCTGGCCCAACCTCAAGGCTTCGTTCTCTGACTTGTAATTCTTGAGCTGAACCTGGGGAGGGAGCAGAGAGACTTCACCTCAAAACCGTAGAGCTCCCACAGATAATAATACCCAGCTAAAGATGTTCACAGTTTATTAGGTATAACCAACAACAAACAGATCCCGTAACCAGATCACCTGCAGAGGCTCCTCCCAGCTGTGGAGAGCAGCCTCCGACAGGAAACCGAGCTGGAATCACACAGAGCACATCCACAGCAGCATGCCCTCAAGCCTGCTTGCTTCACAGACCCAACCAGGAGCCAGTGCTGGAAGCAGGGATGGAAGCTGCCACCAGTGTTGACACCTCATCTAATGCCATACAGGCTCTGCCGAGCTCCCTGCCACATCCCTCTGGCTTTGAGAGCACCGCTTCCCACCTGCAGTAACGCGTTCTCCTGTTTCAGTTTTGTAGCACTGTTCTCCGCTTTAACAGCCCGTTTCTGAAATAGAACAGAGATCATTTATCCCACAGCAATGTGTTTAGGATGCAACAGGCAATTTAAGCTACATGGGAATGCCAGATTCCAGCACAGAACTCTGTTTGGGATGCACCACCCCGTGTTCCAAATGCATTAGAAGGGAAAGTGCCCCAGACACATCTGAGCAGCTGCCTCCTCTCCACCCTCCCAGTTTTCCTTTCTGATATCTTTCAGTGCCACCCATCACTTCTGGATGTGAAATTACTACTATATTTGGGGAAATGGTACTTGGTGTAATAAGCAGCAGGAGACGCAGCTCATAGCTCATAGGGGAGGTGCTTTCGGAAGGCTGCAAAAGAGCTGCTGAAGTTGTTGATGAATCCAGAAACAGGACTAATGCAAAAACCTCCCTTATTTCAGGTAACAAAAGTTCTTGACTGGGACACGGTGTTGTTATGGGGGAAAGTCTCAGCCACCATCAGAGCTGTTCAGTGCTCACACGGGTGATGGGATCACTCCATCTTCCCTCACACTCCCAGGGAAGGAAGAGAACTGCACAGCTCTGACTGCAAGCTGCCTCTGCAAGCACCACCACTCACAGTCATCAGCTGGAGGTTCTGTTCCACGTGCTGCACCATCGCTTCCAAATCCTGTGCTTCTTTTTCCTCTTTGATTTTGTTTTCCTCAAGTTTTTTTTCAAGCTTCCTCACCCTTAAAAGTGACAGCATTCAGTGAGCACCTGCAGCATTAAATACTTTCAGAAGAAAATGCTTTTCAGAAGAAAAGAGAAGGAACAAGAAGCTCATTCTTTCCTGCTTAAGAGCAATGAAAACTTCCCACAGAACTGCACTTCTAGGTGGTGGCTCAGGGGATTTCTCTGTTCCACAGACATTAGCATTAGTGGGACCCAACCAGAAAAAAGACCTTACAGAAAATAACCAGCCTAGGAGAGTGTAATTCTGAAACAGTTACTCCATCACCAGGGAAGCACCAGCTACCTCACTGCAATGAGCAGCAGAGGAGTCGGATGGGAATTTAAGGAACCCTTACACACCACCCTACACTGATCACCAGGTTATTTAACCTCAGGAAAATCAGGGCTCCCAGTATCAAATTGGTCACCAGCAAAAATGAAAAACTCTTTTCTTGTTTCAAATGGGAGAGATTATTTTGCTATTTTGAAGCTTTATGAAATGCCTCTTGTCAAGCCCTGCCCTCATTGTCGCAACGCACCTAAACTGCATGAAGTGTAAGCCACACACACATTCCTCAGCAGTCAGTTTGCTACTCCCTTTCCAAGCCTTTTTCAAGATGAAAATCAGGTTAAAACGCTTTTTAAACACATAGCTCAGTTTTCAGCTACATTTAAAGATGGTGACTGTCTCCACTGAGCACCTCTTTTAAGAAAACTCCTTATCTGTGTGGTTATTTTCCCCCACACTGTGGCTTACGCACTTGTCTGCTTGAGTTTCAGAGAAAATCTGAAGCTTGTTGATCTTGCATCTCAAAGTGGCATTCTCTTCCTTCAGCTATAAAAAGAAAAACCCTCATTAGAAGAGGGTGCTGTTTCACAGCACTACCAACACTCCAAAGCCAGTACCACAAGAAATACCCAGCTTCAACTCTAGTGCCGGGGGGTTTTGCACTTTCTACGACACTCCAGCTTACTTCCACACCTTGTTTTCCCCTCTTGAAGCCACTTAACCACGCTGACCCTGTGCGGCACTGAACCACCAGGACAGGTACGAGTAATCACTGTTAATTCTAAAGGACCTCAAAGGGCAGGAGCATGAGGAAGTCACCTGCTGCCAAGAGCAGTGGGACACACAAGGCACAGGCTCCGGCTCACGCTGCAGTGCAGCTTTTCAAGCCTATTGCTCTTCAAGCTGCTCTAACAAGCTGCCACGTATCGCGCAGCTCCTGCTGACAGCAGCTTCGAGAGCGAGTTTGTGTGGCAATCCGGCGCTGGAGCTCGGCTCATACAAGAGGAGACCGCGTTAGCGCTTGTGCCCGCCCCGGGCACGGTGCCGGGAGCCCGGCCGAGGCACTCACCTCCTCGTAGCTGGGCTGCCGGAGGGAGGGGGAGCCCGGCCCCGTGAGGGCTCCGAGGGAGGCCGCGCTCCGCTCCGCTCCCTCGCAGAAGGAGCCGGCGGAGGGCGATGCGGGGCCCGCAGCGGCGAGGTGGGCCTGCTCCACGGCCAGCGGCTGGTAGCTCCCGCTCCATTCCTCCTCCTCCTCCTCGTCCTCCGCCTCGCCGGGCGGAGCCGGATCCGGCAGCAACAGCGGGCCGAGGCCCGGGTCGGGCTGCGAGCGGAAAGCGGAGCAAAGGCGCTGAAGTAGGCTCGGGACGAGCCCCCCTCAGCGCGGCGGGGCCCAACCGCGCCCCGGCCCCGGCCTCACCTGCGGCGCTTCCCCGCCGCCCCGCGCCTTGCTGCGGACGAACTCGCGGAAAGAGAACGGGTTGTGCTCGGCCGGCAAACCCCCCGCCGCCATGTCCGAGCCACCGACAGCCCTTACGCAACGCCCCGCCCTCCCTCAAAACCGACCAATCAGCGACGGCTCCTGCAGCCTCACCCAATCGCAGCCACTCCCATGGCGACGCTAAGCCCCACCCTTACCCCGCCCACCCACTCCCGGGGCACCGCGGCTGCGCAGTGAGGCTCCCGGTGGCGGCAAGATGGCGGCCGCCATAGCGTGGCTGAGGGGGCGCGCCTGGGGCCCGGCCCGGCGGTGAGCGCGGCCCCGTGGGGCGGGATGGGGCGGGCGGGGAGCGGGGAGCCTGGAGCCGTCCCCGGACCCGCGGCGGGGCTGCCCGGGCACTGACGCGGGTCCCGCTGCCCCGCAGGTGCGGGCTGGCGGGCGGCCGGAGCTACAGCGGCGGCGGCGCCTACCCCAGCGTGTCGCTGACGTGCCCGCTGCCCGGCGTGCCCAAGGCGGTATTCGCGGCGGCCGAGGGCCGGGAGCGGTTCGAGACGCGGGTGTCGGTGCTGGAGAACGGGCTGCGCGTCGCGTCCCAGAACAAGTTCGGGCAGTTCTGCACCGTGGGCCGTGAGTACGGGCGGAGCGGGGGCAATGGGGCCGCTGCCCCGGGCTGAGGAGGGACGCGATGGCGCTGTGAAAGTGACACTGACTCTTTCTCTTCTTAACGCTAGTTCTGGTAAACTCGGGATCAAGACATGAAGCGAAATACCTCAGTGGCATCTCCCACTTCCTGGAAAAGCTGGCCTTCTCTGTGAGTCCTGTGCCGGGGTCTGTGAGGGGCGCTGTAAATCTGCACAGCTTGAGCAGCATCAGGGTCTGATCCGCTGCCATGGGTGGTGGCTGCATTCCTAGCTAGTTTATGGGGACTGCAGATGTATTTTGAAGGTCCATTCATTGTGCTTTCACCTTCAGGGTTGGTGGGTGTAAAATAGAACCATGGAATGGGTTGGGTTGCAAGGGACCTTAAAGCTCCTCCCGTTCCAACCCCTGCCATGGGTAGGGACCCAAGCCCCTGTGTCCAGCCTGGCCTTGAGCACTGCCAGGGATGGGGCAGCCACAGCTTCTCTGGGCACCCTGTGCCAGCGCCTCAGCACCCTCACAGTCCAAGGTGATGCTTGTTCTGGGCTGCCCTGAAGGAGTATGAACAGTTACTGCTTTCCTAACTCATAGCGTTGCTGTTTTCTTTCTTAGTCCACCGCTCAGTTTGGCAGCAAAGATGAAATTCTCCTCACCTTAGAAAAGCACGGGGGCATTTGTGACTGCCAGGCATCGAGGTATGACTCTCCTTCTCCATGCTCCGTCACCTGAGTGGCTCTAACACTTGACAGTGCTTTGAGGTGTCTGTTCTGGTGGGTGGCAGTAAAAGCCTCTTCTTGTTTGGAAGGAGCAGAAATCCATTTGTGGTGACTGTGCAGAAACTACAAAAGTGAACCTGAGAGGGGTGTAAAAGTCTGTAGGCAAAGCATGACCTAGACGGGATGTCCCAGCACCCTGTCCAGCCAGACCTTAACAGTGTCCAGTGCTGGACACCACTTCCCTGCGGAGATTATTCCAATGACTGGTAGTTCTCACTGTGAATAATTTTCCTCTTGTGTCCAGTTGGAATCTTCCCCAGGAATAACTTCTCAGGGACTTCTCAATGCAGAACCCAGCTTTGTGTTGCAGGGACACCATCATGTATGCTGTTTCTGCTGAGGCTCGAGGCCTGGACACAGTGGTCAACCTGCTGGCTGATGTAGCGCTCCGGCCCAGGTTGTCAGGTGAGGGAACAGGAGTCTCTGCCTTGACAGAACAGACTCCCAATGCATAACGTGCTGTTACTCTTCATGAGACTGTGCTCATCAAGAAGTTATGCAGAGATCAGGGATTTTGCGTGGTGGTTGTGATCTGTGATCTCTTCTTTCTCTGTTATTACAGATGAGGAAATTGAGATGACTCGAGCAGCAATTCGATTTGAGCTTGAAGATTTGAACATGAGACCTGATCCAGAGCCTCTCCTCACAGAAATGATCCATGCGGTAAAACACCCAAGTCCATCTTCCATGCAGCCCCTGAATGAGACATGCTGTGTTCTCTTTTTCTGTTATTGAATTGGATTTCAGTGGTGGGGAGGGAGAATTTTGTTGTCCCTCCACTTTGAAATCCTACATTCTACCCACATGAAAGATTTTAACCTAAACTGCAATTATCTATCACATCTCTTTGTTGACGTGGGTGACAACATGTCATTGAGTTGTGCTGACATTAGTGAAATGATGCTCAGCCCCTCCTCTTTACATGTCTCAAACAGACAGGCATCATTCTAAAGCAGGAAGAAGGTTTAGATGCACGGATTGAAGTAGTATTTGTTACTTTAGTGTTATCTGTTTCCCTTCAGGCAGCCTACAGGGACAATACAGTTGGACTGAACAGGTTCTGCCCAGTGGAAAACACAGACAAAATTGGCCGGGACGTGCTGCATTCCTACCTGAGGAACTACTACACACCGGACAGGATGGTGCTGGCCGGGGTGGGAATCGAGCACGAGCAGCTGGTGGAGTGTGCCAGGAAGCATCTGCTGGGAGTGGAGCCGGCATGGGGCAGCAGCCAGGCCAGGGATGTGGACAGATCCGTAGCGCAGTACACAGGAGGCATTGTCAAGGTGAAAGGAAGGTGGTGGTGGTGTTGTGCTTTGTCCTGTCTGTTGGAGAGGTAGATTTGGACTTGAGCTGGTTTCTCCATAGGTTTTGCTATTAATACCTGGGGGACAGGTTAATTATTGGGAGTACATCAAGGTGGATACAGTGGAGGTGAAAATCAGTCCTGATAATCTGTTTGCCCTTCCCACAGGTTGAAAAAGATATGTCAGATGTGAGCCTGGGCCCTACTCCCATCCCAGAGCTTACCCACATCATGATTGGGTTAGAGAGCTGCTCATTTTTAGTAAGTATTAACCTAAAATCCCTTGTTCTGTGCTTGAGGAATCCCAGAATACTCTCTCATTATGCAAGCACTGGCATTCTTCTGCTGATGCTGCACGTACAGACAAGCAGCATTTCACTGACAGTTTGAGGAAGGCACTGACCTTTAAGTTCCTCTTGTGCCATGGCTCTTTGTCCCTCTTTACTCAGCCCAGACTCTCAGGAGCTCTGCTTTTAACTGACTGAACTTCTTGTTGCCATTCAGGAGGAAGATTTCATTCCCTTTGCAGTACTGAACATGATGATGGGAGGCGGAGGCTCTTTTTCAGCTGGAGGGCCTGGCAAAGGCATGTTCACCCGATTGTATCTCAATGTGCTCAACAGGTTGGTTTGCCTTTCTCTTTAAGGGGTAGCAGCAACAGTCTTCAGCAGGTTCACATGGGAGGCTTCAGCTGTTGAAAGCCAGCGGGCCCTGGTTTTACATCAGTTTATTCCACTTGAAACACACGGGATTGATTTGTCAGTGGCAAATTGAGGGCAGAGGTGACCTGGAATTCTGTCACCCTCTACTAGCCCAATCCATCCTTTCACTAGGGAATATTAACAGAATTGGCAGCAGGTACCAGTGATACAGCTCCGTGGTGTTCTGGGCTTGGTCTCAAGGATACAAATGGAGAGAAGGAAGTAGATAGCACATGCAAGAATCCTCAGCAGCACGAACTGACCATTCCCATTGGCATTACTGAGAACCCTGACAAGGCACTAGGAGGGGACTCCCTGTCCATGCTGGTTTATTTTTTACATTTAAATTCTGTTTCTATGCTCCCAGGCACCACTGGATGTACAACGCAACCTCTTACCACCACAGTTACGAGGATACAGGTCTCCTGTGTATACATGCCAGTGCAGACCCAAAACAGGTACACAGCCCTGTATTCAAAGACCTGTTACCAGACTCATTACCAGACAGCAATGTTCTAATCTTCTTCCACTTATCTGCGTTCCTAGGTTCGGGAGATGGTAGAAATCATCACAAGAGAATTCATTCTCATGGCAGGAGCTGTAGGAGAGGTGAGCAGCCCAGTGTGTGCACTGTGCAGATGGTCTTGGAGCTGAAACAGTACATTGTGCTGGCCTGGCTAGAATGGAGTTTTGTAGATAAGCATGTTATGTGTTTCTGTAAAAGAATATGGTAACTTTAGCAGCACATTCAAAGAGGAAGGTGTTTGCAGAACTCCTTGTGCTAGAGTGCTGGCCAGGCTTTTGGGAACATCTGTTTGTATTTGCTGCTCACTGACAGGTAGAACTGGAGCGAGCGAAGACGCAGCTGAAGTCCATGCTCATGATGAACCTTGAGTCTCGTCCGGTTATCTTTGAGGATGTGGGCAGGCAAGTGCTGGCAACAAACACAAGGAAGCTACCTCACGAGCTGTGTGCCCTCATCAGTGAGTAGACAATGCTTTTCCTCAACTGAACTGTAGGCACAGTCAGGATTGGGTAACTTACACTCTTGCAGCACAGATGAGTTGCTTTAGGAAGCTGGGGGGGCATAAATAATTCAGTTATATATTTCAAGCTGATCTCAACTGCTTACAAGCTAGCACAGTGCTTATTTTTGTCAGAAGGAAGGAAAAACCAAGCAGGGTAGAGAAGCTCCAGAGTTGGTGATTGATTTTCTGAGCACCAGTCACTTCATAAAGCATCTTAATAAAGCTTCGTGCTCTTCAGAATGTAGTTGTCACAGCTCTGGCTTTGGGTTTTTTCCTGCAGGTCAAGTGAAATCTGCTGATATCAAGAGAGTGGTCACTAAGATGCTCCACAAAAAGCCAGCTGTGGCTGCCCTGGGTGACTTGACAGACCTGCCCACCTACGAGCACATCCAGGCAGCGCTCTCCAGCAGGGACGGGCGGCTCCCGCGGGTGTACCGGCTCTTCCGATAGACCCTGCACGTGCCAGAGCTGCTGCCTTTTGATATGGTTTTGAGATGATAATATTGCTGCAAACCACTTCCCCTCTCTCCCCCAGTCTGTCCAGGCAGACTCTGCAAACATGGAGCTATGCTGCAGCTGAAATACACTGCTTCAGAGCACTGGGCTCTGAAGAGCTCGGTACCTTGGG